TATAAAAAGAGAATAACGAAGCAAAAGACAACCCGTAGCCGACAAGTTACTAGTATATTGTTTGTGTCAACGTACCATTATGGGCACCTAAAGGGTATCAAGTAACCTACTCAATAATTGTCACTAAAATTCGGGAAAAATAAATATAAAAAATATAACTTTTCATAGGATCAATCATGCAATCTTTTTCGTGTGTAAAGATGAAGATGGGAATCCCAACCCCCAAAAAAAAGAAAAAAAAGAAAAAAAGAAAAAAAGATGAAGATGAGAATGTATCAAGACGAGAAGCTGCGCAGAATTCATGAGCAGAGAGAGGATTAAAAGAGATAAGCCAGGCTTTCGGTTCAGAAAAAGGGAAGAAGTATGTTCCCTCTGTGTGGTGGAAGGTGGACGAAGAAACAAACACAAAGACATGATAGAAAATGGATATTAAAATTGGAAAGAAAAAAAAGGGCAAAAGAAACAAAATACCAAAGAGATACTTACGTGATTTAAATTAGATTTCTGGCCTCCACTAGGCACCACCACTCATGCATTTTTGAAAGCTGAAGTGAAAGGAGATAAGAACGCTTCTGTCACTTTTGACCGGGATTTATGTGATTTCAATTTGTTACAAGTTGTGCGGATGCTAATCATGATGCATAAATATAAATGAATATCGGTTTGTCGCGTCTGCACCCATTTTGCAAATTGTAATTGTAAATCAAATACAATTTCCTTGTCAAATTGTGAATTAAATATAATTTATTCTACTTGAAAAAATACTCTCGTGATATTCATCAAATGATTGAGTTTCGAACTTTCTAAGCGATTAAGTTAAGAATAATATCGATACAACCTCTCTAAACAAATGATATCTCTAGATGAATGAGTTCTGCATGAGAATTCTTTTATATGCTTAGAGACAATGGAGGGCCCCAAACCACAACTAGGTGGAGCAGGTTCCAAATCCTAACGATGGGGTTAATGGGGTACATTAACAATCAATCAAATGTATGTGTGGTCAAAACAACATTGTTTAAAAAATTGTAATTGTAATTGTAAATCAAATACAATTTCCTTTTCAAATTGTAAATATAATTGTTCTACTTGAAAAAGTACTCTTGTGATATTTGTTAGACGGTTCAGTTTCGAGTTTTCTAAGCAATTAGGTGAAGACGATATCGATCCAATATGAGGATATGATATGAACTTGTTTTATATGCAAATTGTGAACTTTGTAAGTAGTATGGCTAATGGTGGTTAGCTAAATTGGTATTAAGGTCTCTGTTTTTTGCCAAAACATTAATATTTAGTAGCTCCCAAGTAACTGTAGTTGTCTTCTTATAACTGAAAATAGGCAATGAGTGTGGTGTGGGTGATATTACAAAGTCAATATATATCGCATACTTTGCTTCCCTATTTTTCACGTTATCTGTCATGTAAAGCCAGAAAATAGTAAACTATTACTAGGATGCGACCTCCCAAGTTGGCCATTTGCTTTAGTTGCTTTTGTTGTTTGCCAACTGCAAAATGTAAATTAGAATTAAAGATGATGTTTTGCAGCAAAGTTGAAATATTAAGAGATTTCGGCTCGGTGGCATTATATAGCACACATAATACATGCAAATGAGAAATAACAAAGCAACGAAGTGGCAAATGGCAATGTTGGATTGGAGCAGTCGTAAATTTTTTTAGGAAGAAATTAAAAACCGCGTTAGGTCGGTTAGTTAGGGTAGTATATACTGAATCTAGCCATGTTTTGGGTAGGCCGAAAATTGTCAGAAAATAAAAATAGGCAAAGATGAAGCAGCAAGACCAAGGAAAAGAGAAAGGGAAGAAGACGAAAAAAAATTGAGAGAGAAGGAATCAACAAGTCCAGGGAAAGGAGAAAAAAAAAGGGGGAGAGAGAGAGAGGAGAGAGGGACACAAGTGGCAGAGAGTCTATAATTGAACTCTATAATTATTTTGAACTGGGTAAAATTATTTGGACACCCAGTTTTTTTTACCCCCTAGCCCAATTTCTTGTACACTAGAGCCTAGTTTTATAGCAATAGATGCTAATTGTTTTTATATGTATTAATTTTTTTTTTTTCAAAATGCAATTTATTCTTTTTTTTTCCTTTTTCTTATTTGATGGATGCGATATCAATTTTGCTGTTTATATTATTTAATCATCATATCAATGTCATACACATATTTTAGTTTTTGGAAATTTCTTGTATTGACGTACCCGTATTGTATCCATGTAACGTGCAAGTTCCGCTTACTTGACTTCCAAATTCTGAATCCACCACTAATAGTATATAGGTCTCATTATTATCGAGTTTGATCTCCCTGTGTATAGATTATAGTAGTTTAAGCTATTGTTTATATAAAGGAAAAAAAAATAGAAACGTATTCGTTTATTTGTCTTGGGAAAAAGTGCTTCTAATGCCTTGCTTTCCATTTGTATGCTTCGAAATAGAAAAGAAACAATTTTTTTCATGTGTATGGCGTTTAATATGAGCCACCATTAGTGATTTAAGATGAAGATCATCTGGGCCCATAAAGATTAACATGGCTTAAAAGCCTAATTTAAAGAAAAAAGGCAGACTCCATCAAGACACGTAACATTCTTCACGTACTAAAAGAAATCATTTTTACTTTTGATAGCTTATATGTTCCACAAAATAAATATATTTTTGTATGTAGATGTAGTAAGGGATCACATAACGGGGATAAACTTTCTTATACTTTATTATATATACCCATTATTCTATATCGCTTTCATCACGTGACTATCTGATTATAAGGATACATATATTTGATTTCATTATACTTTAATCCTATTTTTCTTTTTTTGGGAACTTTAATCCTCTTTTATAAAGCTCATCGCTACTTTCACCTGTCCCTCTTTCTAGTCTTGAGACAAATTCATATTATTCAAATTCATCTACCTCGATTTTGACCTTATGAATCAATGTATATATAATTAATTATTAAAACTCGTGCATCTATGAAGGGATGAATACAATGAGACTGAATATTTGAATGAGGTGTAACAATCAAGGTATAAAGTATATTAATGTGTTTTAGGAATATTTTAATTTTTTATGTAGTAAATTACAAATATTCTAAGTTTTATATAATTTATATTAATTGTTTCGTGATGACATGAATGGTCCAATTCTAATGAAATATGATCCGGGCTCCGGCTTTGTACTTATATAACAAGATAATTGTGTGTACTAAGTGAAATATTCTTTTATGAGATAGTTTGATATAGAGATTTTTGTAGAAATGTCACATGAACTTATACATCAGTTTCAATTTGTTACCTTAAAGATAAATTTAAGCATTTTGAAAACTTAAGGTGACATTTTGCTTAAATTTTTCTTTAAGGTGACAAATTGAAACTGATGTATAAATTCAGGTGACATTTCTACAATTATCCCATTGATATATTATCAGAACTATTTATACCAACATAAATTGATTAGGAAACATTTTTTTTGCATGTTAATACATGTGATATGGGAGCGGAAAAATCGAACCTAAAATCTCATATGTACAATATGAATAAATACTTTTAATCATTTTAGCTACAAATTTATTGCATCGTATATATTTTTAGTCTGTAAAAAAATAAGTTGTGAGATTTGGCGAGTAAATTTACATCCTTGTCCTAAACTTACCTTTTTATCTTTGGATGCAGTGAGATGTAAATGAATATTATTGGATATGAATGAATAATGAGCAATGATAAAAAGGATAAATAGCAAAGGGGCACTTGTGGTGAAAAGAAGGTACCATCAAAGCATGTAACATGAATGGGTGGGATTGCTTTTGAGTGCGGTTTCGGTTATACGCAAATGGAACCTTCTAGTTCTTCTCCAAGTCTTGGAAAACTCCGACCTTTCATTTCTCACATATTCTTTCTTTGTCACATTTCTTTTCTTTTCTTAAAGGCTTAAAGAAAAATTATATATGAAAATTTTAAGTATAACATTTTTCCCGTCTAAAATTTTCTTTGTCACGAATCTTTTTTCCTTCATAAAGGCTTAAATGGGATTTTGAGTTTAAACAAAAAGAAAAAGCCGTAAATGGGTCATCGTCTCTTTCTCTACAGAGTTCTGATCAGATCAAATAAATCAGGACCGCAGATTGTGGGTCCCACTTTTCTGGTCCCACCATCATATCAAATCAGTATTCAAGGTGTATTGCCACGTGGCACCATACACGTCTTCAATTCTCTGCCTAGACGCTTCTCCTCTTCTCCCTTTTATACTTATTAAAAGGTCTCTCTCTTTCTCTCTCTCTATTTTTCTGTTTCTCTGCTTCACGAAATCATCAAACCGAGACCAAAACAAAACAAGCCCACATACTGTTTTGATCAAGAACCTTATTCAGGTATATGATCAAGGCATGAACTTTCTCTGTTTTTCAAAGAATTTTTGTAAGTTGCTCTGTTTTGTTGTAAGTACTTGTTCCTGATGAGTTCAATTTTTCAGTATCTGTTTTTCTTTTTTTCTAAATTGAACAATCTGGTGTCATTTTGCAGAGCTATTATCTTGATTTCCTCTAAAAGTTGCACCTTTTGTGTTCTAAGTTCAAATATAATGTTTTGTGTTTCAAATTTATGTTCTTTGAAGTTGAGGTTCCATATTTCATTTCATCATCACTGTCAAGCTTTTTCCTTTTTTCTAATTTGATTTTGAGCTTGCTGCATATTTCAATGTTCTTATAAGCAAGCTAATGGGTTTATTTATATTTACAAAGTAACAATGGCTTTTTAATTTGAACATGATTTACTCTGCTATATCTGTTTACATGATTCTCTGCAAGTTTCTAAGGTGTTGACACATGGGTTTGTGTTGGTACTCTATTTTCTTGTCGTTTTTCCACACCTTTGTTTTCTCTGTATCGGAATTTGTACTGACTTATCCATGTTTCTCTCTCTTGAGCTGGTGACAGAAACGAGGACCTTTTCTTTTATATTGTGACAGGCGGTGGGTTTTGGGCTGAGATTAGATTCTGAAATGGTAGGAAAAGAAAACTTCAAGACTGAAGACTTGAACTTGTGCTTTGAGAAACTCATGATGTTTGGTGGTGGTAGTGCTGGTGCTATTGCTCTTGGTTGTGGAAAAGTGAAAATGGAAGGAAGGGCTATTACTGATTGGAAGGATATTCCCATGGAGCTCCTGTTGCAAATCCTTGGACTTGTCGATGATCAGACGGTGATCATGGCTTCTGGAGTCTGTCGTGGCTGGAGAGATGCTGTTTGCTTAGGCCTTACCCGTCTCTCCCTTTCATGGTATATGCTTTGCCCTCTGTGCATCTTTTTCCGCCGTTGTTGCTGTTGTTGTTGTTGTTGTTGTTGTGGCATCAAAACTAGTTGAAATATTCTGTTTGATGATACAAATAACGAAACAAATATGTTGACATAATGTGTGTGTAAATATTGCCCTGTCCTCTTTGATAAACCATCCTCTGTTCTTGTGTAATCCCTTTTGACAGCTTTGTTACTCTTTAGAACACGATATGATTCCTCCAATGGTTTTTATTAATCAAAATGCATCTCAAAAATTGTTTTCTGTAAGGGTATTATAAGAAATGATGTCAATTTGCAAGAGCGTATATAGGGTTATGTGAAAATGATGCTTTAAGTGTTCCAGATCAGACTAATTGTATTGCTTGCCCATGCTGTCTAGTTGTAAGATTACGTCTAGATTCTCTTCCTGGAGTTGGTAAAATTCTATTTTGTTTCCCTGCGTAAGGCTCTTTTCATCTCAGCTAATTATTTGAAGTTATTTGGAGTTCATTTTTTCTCCCAAGACAGTTATATCCTGATTTTAAGTTGGCCTCCTATGTTAGAATTGAGATATATTTATCTTCCTCAATTTTTGAAAGTCAATGCTCTCTCTTGTTTGTGACATAATGCCTGTAATCTTTATGAGAGGAATTTCATCATGAATATCTTGTGGAAATAGATTTAATTGGAAGGAAAAGATGTTGATAAGGGTTGCTGCATTATGTTTATACAGTCAGTTTAAGCTGGATTTTGTTAGTATTGCGCATACAATCTCAATGTGAAATCATGGGGTATTTTGAGATCCACGTTGTTACCAACTGTGTGCGACTTAGTTAGTTGTTGGTACTTCATGTCGCTGGTTATCATTAGTCTATTTATTTTCAGTTTATTTCTTCCCTCTCCCCTTACCCTTGCCAACCCAACACAAAAGGAGAGAATGTAAGTACATTGATGGTGCTCAACTAACAGAGTTGAAAGCTTGCTAAGGTGAATCAAAGACGGCCGAGAAAGGAACTAAAGATCCTTTGGAAATTTGGAATATCAAAAGTGTAAGACTATGCTTTTGGGTACAGGGAACTTAAAATTTTCCCAGATGCCAAATCCTTTCTCTGTTGTTTCCAGAAAGTAAATGAGTGACGTGAAAGGATTCTAGAGATTTTCTATGACTTGATTTAAGCTTTGTGCATTGATTTAGAAAGAAAAAAAGGTTCTGAATGCCAATTTAATCATAACTAGCTTGTCAATTATCTTTTCAGGTGCACCAAGAACATGAACAACTTGGTCCTATCTCTTGCTCCTAAGTTTACAAGATTGCAGACTCTAATTCTACGTCAAGATAAACCCCAACTTGAGGATAATGCTGTTGAGAGCATTGCAAACTTCTGTCATGATCTGCAGGTCCTGGACCTCAGCAAAAGCTTCAAGCTCAGTGACTGCTCCCTGTATGCCTTAGCTCATGGGTGCCCTAATCTTACAAAACTCAACATTAGTGGGTGTACAGCCTTCAGTGACAGTGCTCTTGAGTATCTGGCTAGCTTTTGCCAAAAATTGAAAGTTCTGAATCTTTGTGGATGTGTCAGAACTGCGTCAGACAGGGCATTGCTGGTAAAGATAAGATATTGAATTTTTTTTTTCCATGTCTTAACTAAGATAGTTCTATTAATACTGTAAAATCATGTGCAGGCTATTGGTCGTTATTGCAGTCAGTTGCAGTGTCTGAATCTTGGTTGGTGTGAGGATGTAAGTGATGTTGGAGTTATGAGCTTGGCATATGGATGCCCTGATCTCAGAACCGTTGATTTGTGTGGCTGTCTCCAAATAACAGGTATTTTGGTTACAGTACCTGTTCCTTGTTACAGTTGGTTTTGGCAGTCATATTTCTCAAATCTCGTATTTGCACATGTATGTACTAATAGGTGCATTGCAAGGGAATCAATGCTGCTATTATCAAGTTGCTTAGTATTGGCTGTGCTGTTTCAGAGTTGGCAATCACTATCCATCATGAACCTTATAGTAGCGATTTAGCATTGTCTTCAGTAAAATGCCTAATGACTTAATGAACATTTTTATTAGATGCTTAGGCTAACCTTTCATGTCCTTTTCTTTTTATGCTTTCCATTTGCTACCAATTGAAATAATTAACCCATATCCATCTTGATGAAAGAATGCACCGAAAATAGTACTGAACTGAAAGAGAGCCCTTACAATTGGAACATGAGGAATTGAACAGAAAATGTAGTTTACCTGGTTTATGGATAGTGATCATCTCTGATGCCTTTATTCTTTCATTGCAGATGACAGTGTGATTGCTTTGGCAAACAGGTGCCCTCATCTGAGATCCCTTGGCCTTTATTACTGTCAGAACATTACAGACAGAGCAATGTATTCTTTGGCCCAGAGTTTAGTTAGGAACAAGCCTGCAGCAGTGTGGGAATCTAGGAAACCCAAGAATGATGAGGAAGGGCTCAGGACTCTTAACATCAGCCAATGCACGGCACTAACCCCTTCTGCTGTTCAGGCGGTGTGCGACTCATTTCCCGCACTTCATACCTGCTCTGGAAGGCATTCCCTCATTATGAGTGGCTGTTTGAACTTGACATCCGTGCATTGTGCCTGTGCTGTCCAAGCACACCGCACGGCTAGCGCCTTTCCTCATTCAGCTCATTGAGTAGAGGAACGAGGATTAGGGTAACAAACTAAAGTGTGTGGAAGGGCCGAGAACCCAAAGCCACAGTATATATGTTTGTGTTGTGATGTAAATGGGCAATGGCCTGGAACTACGGACTTTAAGTATCTGACTTATGTTATCAGCTTTTGAATTATGACTTTTGCAGGATTTTCACTGCTGGAAAGCAAACTTAATTTTGTTCATTTTAACAAGCATTTTGGTCTCCCCATCCCCCGAATCCGATCCGAAAATATGTCTATATTTAAATAAATAAATAATTATAATATTTATATTTAATCCCAAGTTAACCTCCCTATCCTATTTCTTCTTAATTTTCTTTGGAATTTCATATTGATATGATTTTGAATAGTTGAGTTGAACTTTATAGTTAATTTGGATGTGTTGAATAATAATTTAATATGAAACTTAATGTTAAAATGTATGATAAATATTTTTTATAGTAAATTTGGCTTACACCCTTCAAATTCAATTTGCCATACCTAAAACCCTTCACTTTTTGTTCCTATAAATAATACCCAATTTGTATAAGTAAAAACTCATGACTAGGATCCAACTCAGCAAGTTATCTAATTAAGCATAAAATCTGATTTATTGTACTTTTCAGATTCCAAAAATACCCCCAACTAAGCCATTATTGCATTTTGTATATTAATGTAGGAATCAATATGGAAACAGTTTTTAATTGGATTGTATATAATGACAGATGTTGAATTTGGAAAGATCTCCAAATGGTTGTAATGGATGTAGGAATTAATTTTGGAACATTTAAAAAAAAAAAACAATAAATTCAAATTTGGGTAATTGGTTTGTTTAATAAAATGTTTATGTTATTTTCTTTTTATGAATTATACATGACTAATAATCCACTTTATAATTGTTTATGAATAAAACTGTACATACTAATTATGTTGAAAAAATAATGTACCTATTTGTTTTATGAAAAATATAATTTACCTAGTATGAAAAGTGTACATAATTATCTATTCCAATATACCTACATTAATTTTAATGTACTTACAATTAGGATTTAGGTATTATATGTCATCCAATGTACCTACCATTTGAATAATATACCTACTACGAATAAAGTACCTATTATTTATCTAAATAATGTACCTATTTTTTTCTATAAATAATATAGCCTTTTTTCTCTGAATAAAGTACCTATTATTTGTTTTATTAAACGTAATTTTTTTAAATGAACCTATTTTCTCTCTCCAAATAACTTACCAATTTTTTTCCTCTAATAATTTACCTATCTTTCCTCTCCAAATAATGTACCTATATTTATATAAATTATTGTGTACCTATTTTTAATTATGAAAAATATACGCAATTACAAAGTAACTGACTTTTTTTTTGGGGTAAATAATATACCTTTATTTTATATGTATATATTTATATTATATTTTTCATAGGTACATTATTGGATATGTAATTTACAGATTTTTTTGTTTGTTTGCAATTTTAGGGGGCGAGATGTGAGAGGGAATGACAACTAAAAGAAATGGGGTGATTGATATGCTATTAATAGGGAGTATATTAATTACAATTATGGTAGTTAATGAAATGCTTGAAATAAATTATAAATAAAATATGAAGTTTAGTGGCAACGATGTAAAAACATAGAAATACTACGACCTCTTATATCCTACTGGTCATTTAAATTTGAAATTGGGTTATACACATAGATTTATAGAGTGATGGGTATATGTCTAGGAAATAGAAAATGTATGGATCTATATTGGACAAGCCCTATTTTTTATGCGAAAAAAATCGGGGATTCGGAGCGAGTATGGGGGATGGTCCCGTTCCCTGGGGACAGGGATGATATTGTTATACACAGTCCCTATCCAACTTGAGCAACTGATTTGATAAGGACCTCCCTATCAGCTTGTGAGAGAAGGGATTGTTTCCATCCGCTTAACTTATGCAACAACTTCTCCTTCACAAACTGAAACACCTCTTTCTTAGACCTCCCCCACATTGTAGGAAGACCCAAGTATTTATCTGGGTCATCTGCCATAGTCATACCAAGAATGGCACGCAACTCTGTGCGGATACTTGCAGGTGTATTGGGACTAAAGAAAAGACTTGATTTCCCGAAGTTGATTTGCTGACCAGACGCACGACAGTACAGTTCTGAGTATTAGCCCTGATAAAAAGAGGGCATCATCGGCAAAAAGAAGGTGAGAGAGAATAGATCATCTTCTTCCAAACTTTAGACCTTGCAAATAATTAGCATCACATGCTTTTTTAATCATGAGGGAGATGACCTCACTCACAATAAAAAAACAAGTACGATGATAGTGGATCTCCTTGTCGGATGCCCCTCGTTGGTGTAAAAGTGTCAGCTTCCACCCCATTAAAGACCAACGAGAATTGCACAGTTCGAACCAAATTCATCACCAAGTTGACCCAACGAACATCAAAACCCATCTTGAGCATGACCGATTCCAGGAAGTGCCACTCCACTCTATCATAAGCCTTGTTCATATTAAGTTTGATGCCCAAATTGTACATTTTTGTTGTCTTTCGCAGCTTTAAAATGTGGAAAGCTTCATGGGCGATTAAAAGATTCTCTTGAATTTGACGGTTTGGGACAAAAGTATTCTGAGATGGAGAGATGATCTGTGGCAAAAAAACCTTCAATCTATTTGCCATAACTTTATATACAATCTTGAAAGAGAAATTACATAGGCTAATTGGGCGAAAATGAGAAACTCCCTCAGGGTTTGGAATTTTGGGAATTAAGACAAGGTTTGTAATATTCAAAGCACCAAGACTCTGATTGTTTAGGAGGAAATCCTTTGTGATGCCTTTGACTTCATCATAAATATTTGTGAAAGAAAATTCCCTAATACCCATCTAGACCAGGAGCCTTTAAGCCTCCCATCTTCATAAAATACTCAAGCTAATTTCTTCCCCGATTTTTCTGTTTTTTCTTTTTCTTCTTTTTAAAAAAATCATGTTTTCTTTTGATATTTTGCAGGTGGTCTTTCTTTGCTTTGGATAGATTTGGTTGGTGTTTTCAGTTCTGTTAAGCAAGGGGTGAGTTTCTAGGCTGAAATTTCAATTAATTGTTTTAAGTTTTGTGAATAGAGCATAGGAATTAGCTAATGGCATCAATTGACAATTGGTTGGTGTTAATTTGTTGTTGTAATGATAGGTTTAGATGATTACAATATTTGAACATGTTGGTAAATCCTTTGAGTGTTTTGGCAGTTGGGTAGTTGAGATGTTCCCTGCCTATTTTCATCGCTTTATACACATTTCACGCAATTTTAAAACCCGCAGCATCGCGCGGGCACCTTTTGCTAGTTGTTACTAGCGCAAATGGAACCAGGATTTGTCAAAGTGTTACCCTACTTGATGCAATTGGTCTCTGCTGGATATAAAAGCACCTTGCCTTGAATATCATGTTTAGATGCAAGTCAAGATTGGGTTAATTAGTTTCATCTTCGAGTCTATAAATTGCAGAGTATTACCATTTCTAGTAATTATCAGCCCCATCTATAGATTGAAAAGATGAAACCCAGCAATACTAATAGCTACAATATTAAAGAAGAATATAATGTTGACAGGGCACCGGTTGACAAAAAATTTGTTAGAATGAGCTCATATTGTGTTCTTTGCTCTTCAATTGGGCTCTTGTTTTCTTCTAGGAGCTCTCCCTTAGGTGTTTCACTTTCATGACAGTAGTTACTACAGCATTAACAAATTCATATGTATATGACCGGTCATATGAACGTTGGCTACTGCACTTACATGCATGTGAGCAGCAATACAATGATGATGATTATGTAACAGCAGGTAGAAAGAAAAAAAAACTAGTTTGATGCAGAGGACTAGAAAAATGTAGAGGTTGTATAAACTTCTAGTGTCAATCTTACGGTCTGGTTGTATAAACAGGTTGGATTGAATGGTTAAAGCATTTTGTCAAACCCATGAAAAATTGCATTAGTATGTGTACTGTAGCAATTGTTCTTGCCCGATATTGCGAGAAATGAATGCACTGGCTCATATCTGGATTCAGAAATTTGATGATTGGCATTTTGATAAGGTTTTTACCATCTAATTTGGATTTTGTAACTTATGTTCCACCATTGCATAAGCTATGACTAAATCACTTTACATTTTCTTTTTGACTAAAGGTGAATCAGAAATCCGAAAACCTTCCTCCCAAAATTGAAGTCAATGACCAGCTTGGTTGTGATTTTGTTTCTTGGGAATAACTCATAATAGTTCTCAGACTATCGGGCTGTGCGACAACTGTGAATGTTTTCTGTAAAACAATTCCTAAACCTATCCCCTTCGATTCAAATGGGTATTGATGGTTGTTCTTTGAATTCAAGTAATGATGAAACAAGCCTAAAAAAACAATCAATGCACAACTAAAACCTAATATAACATGTGGGACCGAACCAAAACCGAATTAAACCAAAGCAAACTGATTATTTATTTGTTTTGATTTTCAATTTTAAGGTAAAACGGACCGAATTGGACCGTGCCCACCCTACTTACTGACACCCAATGGCGCGAGATGTAATTTATGCCAATTACGCATTCATCGTCTAGGACAGCCCATGGACTAGATTTTTCTAGGGCCCAAAATGATAAGAAAGCCACGTACGACACGCGTAAGATGCTTGTATGCTAGATAACATGAAAGTTGACTGCTTTCTCAGTAGCAGAAAGCCACATTGTGCTTCATTTCATCCTTTAAAAGACCCCCATTCGATCAATTGAGAAACCTCACCTAGACCAGATATAAACCATTGACAATGGAGAATGTGAAACTAGTTGAGAAGGTTGTAATTGCACCAGAAAAACCGAAACAGCCCCGGAGACTTTTCTTATCAAACATAGACTTGGCCCTTGTTGTGTACCAAGAGACGGTTATCTTTTTTGATCCTCCAAGCAATGGGATGAGCTTCTCCGAGGCTTAACATAGCTTGTTTCGCACACTCGGTCCCTTGCTAGCTGAATATGATTTCTTAGCCGGGCGGCTTGTGCCAAGTTTGGAAGACAGCAATCGCTTTGAAATCGAATGCAACGGTGCAGGTGTTGTTGTTGTTGCTGCAGCTAGGACAGATACCAAGCTGGATGAACTTGGTGAGCTTTTGGTACCCACGAAAGAGTTCAGGCAGTTTGTTGCTTTCTTGCCACAAGAGGATGAGGAAATGGATCTCAAAGATAAGCCCCTTGTGTCGTTTCAGATCTGCTCTTATCGTCATTTCACTATTCAAATAAGTCCTTCTGATCAATCTTTGGCTGTGAAAAATGAACAAAAGTCCCAAATTGATCACAGTAATGTATGTTTGTTGTGACAGTTCACTCAGCTTGGATGTGGAAGCCTAGTGTTTGCCTCCAGGTTCAATCATTGCGCAGTCGATGGGGTTGCAGTCCGGGAGTTTGAGGCAAATTTAGCAGCTCTAAATCGCGGTGGTAACTTAGTCATTCGACCAAATGCAGATCGAACAATGTTCAAAGCTCGAAACTCTCCAAACATCAGTTTCCCACATTTTGAATACTCAAAAGCCACTGATAGAACTGGCATATTCACTGTCCGTGGCCTGAGTGGCACCAACATGAAACTATCCACAACTCTTAACCCAACGCGACTTATCTATTTGTCCCAAGATCGTATTGCCAGCTTGAAGAAGGCAGCCCTTAAAGATGGGAAGTTGAAGAGCTGCACTAGTTTTCAAGTTGTTGCAGCAATGACTTGGAAGGCAAGGAGCATTGCGGTTGATATGCCAGATGAAAAAACTTCGACTATTTTGATTCCAGTAGATGTTCGCAAACGAGTTGTGCCTCCAGCCCCACCTGGATTTGCTGGAAATGCATTGGTTCCTGCCTTTGCACATGCAACTGTGAAGGAGATTAAGGAGGAAGATGACTCTACCCTTGTAAGGAAGGTGCAAGAAGGGGTAGAGAGATTGGATGATGAGTATGTGAGGTCAGGGATAGATTGGTTAGAGGTGAATAAAGGGGTACCTTGTGAAGAAGATAGCTTCTCACTTGTGTCATGGTGGAAATTGGGGATAGAGCATGGTGAATTCTCCTGGGGAAAAGTTAAGTGCGCCACATCGGTTCTACTCAAGCCGAGCCTTGTCATGCTGCTGCCAGGACCGGAAGGAAAGGGAGGCCTCAGCGTATGCCTGGAACTACCTGATGATCAAATGGAGTTGTTCTGCAGGTTGATGCTGGGCGAATAGTACACATGATAAGATGAATTCATTTGTTTCTATATTTATACTAATTCAGCACATGATAAGGCTGTATTAGATCAACTGTTTCATTCCTCAGCTTAATATTTCTTGAACAAATAGAATGCTAATTAGTACATAAATACAGAGGAAGGTAGGACAACTATGAGAAATTTCCATAAAGTAAAGTTCTTACAACAAGGTAGAAGACTCAGTTAAGATTTCTAACATGACATTCCTAGAGATTAATCAATAATTCATCAACGTTGCATACTTTAGCCACTTTTCCTTCCAAGTTTAAGACCCAATTCATTGAACCTTGTATCACAAGTTTCTCTTGCCGGCTATAGAAGGCCAAAGAACGGGTTTGTCAATGCAGACTTCAGCTCAGAAGCAGCTGAGTTTAATGTTGCCATATCAACCTTATTGTGAGGAAGATACAAAAAATCTCCCCCTTCAGTTGTCTCAAACCCACAGAGCTCAAGGAACTCAATTCCTCCAATCAAACTCCCAACTCTATCCTGCTCAATAAATTTCAATAAACACGAATTTAGACAATATATAACCGTTGTTAACTGTGTTTATTCTAAGCCTTTCTTTTCTAACCATCCCCAACAGAAAGAACACAAACATGCATGTGCACACACTAAGTTGGAAAACAGAAGAGATAAGTCAAAGCACAGCTTACCAAGAATAACGGATTACTGAGTCTGATCTTCCTGAATTTTTCTTCATTAGGATTCCTTGCAACATTTCCAACATATATCAGCAAGGTCTGGAAGGCTTGTCGCACTCTAGCATCGTCATCCTAGACCCACCAAAGAAAACCAATCGATAGGAAAATATGCCTACTAAAAGCAACATTTCTGTGATCTCCTTTCTTTCTTGATAAGTAATGCATGGTACTAATGGGTATTGATGGTTGTTCTAGACCAATGTGTTATGAAACAAAACAGATTTTTGATATTTCAATAGCTATGAAGGCTCCTAATGATCTTTTTGGACTATTTTCTGTTATTCAAAGATGTAGCTCAAAAGGGCAACAAGGCAAGATTACTCTCTTTCTTGTAACAACCAGTTTGGGAACCTATTACTACGTTGAAAAAGTGAATCAGAGCCATATACCTTGTGGTTGCGCCTCAAGGACCGTAAACATTCTCTCATACATTCTGATTTTGCAACAGAACGGACTGGAAATGGATTCTGACATTTAAAGAGTAAGAAGAGAACATTCAGGATAACTTGCAAAAACTATGTTTTTCAATGAGATAAATGAAACTTTAAATCTATAGACACCAGTACAAAATATTGATACCTGTTCTATCCTCACTGCAGGTGTACGTTTCTCAGCTACAAGCTGTTCAGGTGGCAATCCAAGATTGACCCTTCTTTCTAACTGTAAAGACATGCATACAGTTTTAGGAGTAATTCAACACTTATGAACCCCTTTTGGGCATATGTCTAAAAGAAAAGTGGATTAGCATTATCTATGAATGATACACAAGTTTCATACCGAAATCTTCTCAGCATAATCTTCTCTCTCCCTATCAGAAAGCTCACGAAAAACATTTGCCTCGATCAAAGTTAGCTCAGTAGCATCTTTATCATCAGCAAGTATGCCACACTCCAAAGCAATTGCTTTTGCAGTTTGAAGATTGTCTCCCGTAACCATGCGTACCTACATGTTTATCAAGTTGGAAGGTGATGCAGGCCAAGCCAAACTGAAATAGGCTAGAGACTGCAGTAGGAATACCAAAGGACCAACTGAACCTTTCCATGCAATAAAGATCATTAGAATACGGCCCTGTATATAAATATCGCCATGCTCTGGCTTTCTGGTACACGGTTTAGAAAGTACTCCAATTTAGTGTTGATGGTCATTATGCAATATGAATGGGTACTTTCAGATTTTCTGTCAAAGATTAATTGCCTATTAAACTAAGAATCCACTGAGGCGATATTTGTTTTGAATCGAGTAAATAATTGTCGTCCTTGTTGTCAATTCAAAAGTAAACCTTCAATTGGATCAAAACTGCTCATATTGGAGAAGTTTTCTCCCACATTTTTATCTTTTAAATATCCTTACTTCGTTGCATATTTCCATCAGTAGTCTTGATGACGAATGATTCAATGATATTTATGGATTCTTTAGTCATTAAAGTATATCACGTTTGTACGTTGTTAGTTTCTACATATACCTTCCCAGCTTATGTTGCCATAATATATATAAACACATGTACCTGGAGGACCGAAAACAAGTAACAGTTCCAATTTGTCAAAGAAAGCCTCCCATTTGTCTTTGTACCATCCAACTTTCCATTTGTTTCTATATCCTCTGTGTGTGTTTATGATCATGCCCCTGTTAAATTCTCTTTCTGTTTCGAATTAGCTTAAAAATAACTTGCAAAGTTTAACAGGCACCTTAGACTGGATTCGAGGTTCTACTTTAAGCAGATACCGTGCAAGGTTGCAATGTATTCTTTGGCCCCAGAGTTTAGTGAGGAACAAGCCTGCAGCAGTGTGGGAATCTAGGAAACCCAAGAATGATGAGGATGGGCTGAGGACTCTCAACATCAGCCAATGCACAGCACTCCCCCCTTCTGCTGTTCAGGCGGTGTGCGACTCATTTCCCGCACTTCATACCTGCTCTGGAAGGCATTCCCTCATTATGAGCGGCTGTTTTGAACTTGACATCCGTACGTTGTGCCTGTGCTGTCCAAGCACACCGCACGGCTAGCACCTTTCCTCATTCGGCTCATTGAGTAGAGGAACGAGGATTAGGGTAACAAACTAAAGTGTATGGAAGGGCCGATAACCCAAAGCCACAGTATAAATGTTTGTGTTGAGATGCAATCAGCAGCAAATGGGCAATGGCCTGGAACAACGGATTTTAAGAAGTATTTTGACTGCTGCAAAACAAACTCGGTTTTGCCTCATGGTTTTGGTGATTGTTCGTTTCTAAGAGCGCCTACTCGTTAAGTCCTGGTTCTGCATTTCCTAGAAGAAAATCTTTCGTTAAGCAGAGTGAGTCTAAAAAATTCATTTGAAAACCTAAATATTACAGCAACAAACGCTGAGGTAGACATTTCTGAGTTCCCTTCTGTTCCATCAAGATGACTAGTACTCAAGTAAGATGCAGTGTGAGGTCTACTTCCCATTGAATTTAAATGAGGGCATCATTTGAAAATTATCCTTGCAAAAAGTTAAACAAATCGATTTCTATTAGAAAGTCAAAATCTAATTGTGACTATGTGAAATCAAAATCTAATTGTGATGATTTTCACATCGTGACAAGAAAAAAAAATGCCGAACAAAGTTTTCCAGAAAACATTATAATGACCACTTATTAACTTAAAAAATGGTGGTCTACAACAATGTCCCTCAAATAGTCTTAATTGCGGCGTTCTGCCCAAGTCACTTCCTAGGACAAAACCATTAATTTCTTGCAGCCATTTTAGTGCTGCAGAACTTGCAACCATAGGCCCTTACTCCAGATTTATCAAGTGATCATCAATTCTAAGTTAACGTTCTCAAGCCATTGATATGTAGTGCTTACTCTTCACGTACACAAGTCATTTAACTCTCACTCATCTTCGCACAAGAACAAAATTGAAGATGAATACTAGTATACACGAGAAAAAAGCATTCTAACTGTAAAACTTTCCATGCCGGAACTCTAAGGTAGCCGTCCACATGCTACCTTAAAATAGTTGTGCAGGCATGTTACAACAGAAGTAATTAAACTCGCATTTCGTTATGGGAACATTGACCATATGTGTTTAACTATACGATTTATACTCCAGGTATTGGGAACTGGGTGGTAAGCCCTTCAACTCTTCTCTGCAGATCTGACACCTGATCCTTTAGAGAGAATTCAGGGGAAGCAACAAACCTCATAAAATCTTGAAGCTTTGATCCTGATACTGCGCGTTTAGCATCAATCGTTATCTGCACACCCTCATGAATGTAGTCCGCAACTGCTATGAATTCTTTCTCGGTGAATCCCCTTGTCGTCATGGCAGGTGATCCGATGCGAATGCCACCGGGCACTACAGCACTTTTATCACCTATTTCATCAAACATTACAGCTGTAAAATCAAGGGGAAAAAAGGCTGAAAGACAAATAAAGACAACAACTACACAAACAAAATAAGATAGGGCCTTCAAACCAAAAATAAAGGCCTGGACCCTTGGGGCCCATCTGGTAAAATTATATAGCTAAAGTGGCTTGACTAGAGAGTTAGAAGCTATATGCGTAGATTTGGATTAAAATAAAACACGTGCATTTTGTATGATTCCTTGTATATAGCTATTTTGAATCCATTGCAAATAATTTGTGTCTAGTTCAAATACATGCTTTCTAAAGATGTTTTTTCCATTCAGCCTAATTCTCAAATACAATGTTCTTTTAATGATTTCATCCAAATGGACCCTCAGACTCACCAGGTACTGAATTCTTGTTGAGGGTAATAGAAGCCATGTCAAGAATTTTCTCCACTCGAGCTCCATCGATCCCCTGTTAAAAAAGGAAATGTCAAATAACATTGGTAAATAAAATATGGTTATGAACTAATGCAAAGTATCCAATCACAACTTTATTGCTTAACTCATTATCGAAAACACTCTAAATTTGATAACTTATAATATGAGAATAATTATGATCTCTGATGACAGAATCTTATATTTTCATCCACACATGAGAAAGAAACAAAACAGAAAAACGTAGCTCAAACAGTAAACGAATAGGATACAGGAAGATTCCCTAAAGAAAAAACCAACCCTTGTCAAGCCAAAACAAAGGCCCGTAAACACAAAAACTGGTGAAGTCATAACTCATCTCACTAATATTTTTTGTTCTATCCATAACCTCTAAATGCTAGCCTTCTAAGAAAAGAAAAAAGTGCTAAATAGAAAACAAAAGCTCCACATTTCAGGACAAGTTCTCATTTAAGCTGCAATAAGAAATCTGTATCGAAAAACTAAAACAAATAAATTAATAAACAATCTAGGAACTTACTAAAGGCCGCAAATCCACAAGAACCAGATGATTATCACTTCCACCAGAAACTAGTTTGTATCCAAGTTCAGTCAATCGGCTTGCAAGAGCCCTACAATTAGAGACCACCTACAAGGTAGAGCAGCCACACTAAATTAGGGCATGCCTTAGACCATTTTTACATGAGGACAGTATAATTTCAGTACCTTGTTCTGGTAAGCCTTAAATTCTGGGGACTGTGCATACTTCAAGCAAACTGCAAGGCCCCCAATAGTGTGGTTATGAGGACCACCCTGCATAAAGAACTCAAGCCTTTTATCCTTTCATATCTAATTTAAAAAAATAAATACTGAATTTACAGAAACAAATAAATGATTAGATATGGTTCAGATTTGTTACTAACCTGTAAACCTGGAAAAACAGCATTGTTGATGGCAGATTCTAAATCAACCCCAAGAACTGTATCTTTCTTGAAGAAGATCATTCCACCTCTTGGGCCTCTTAAAGACTAAAGAGAAATGTCTTAAATTTGTCAGATCATCCAAATGTGGCTTACAAAAAAGAAAGCACATGCTAAGGCTATTTATGAACTATACCGAGTCTAGAGGAGAACCAATCGACATTTGCACATGTTTACACAAGTCCATTTATGAGAAATCTCAGAATTTGGAAAAATTTAGCGAAGTATAAATACGTTACACAAGTATGAACAATACCTTGTGTGTTGTTGTGGTCACAATATCGCAGTAGTCAAAAGGATTTGCAAGCACAGAAGCAGCAACAAGACCACTTATGTGAGCCATATCCATCATAAGAAAAGCACCAACAGCATCCGCAATCTTCCCATGCAGATTAGAACTAATTGATCAGGTGCCAAAGAAAGACACAGTGCTTATATATGATAATGAAATTCATATCATTGTGCGAATGAAAATTATTATATGGAATGAAGACATAAAATACTAACCTTCCTCATACGAGGATAGTCAAAATCACGAGGATAAGCACTAGCCCCGGCAATAATGAGTTTTGGTTTAAACCTGTCAGCCATTTCCTCAAGCTTGTCATAATCAACGAGACCTGGATTTTGTTTTTTTTTTTAAAAAAAAAGGAAAAAGTCCAACATCATCCCAAGAGAATAACCATTACATCTTTAGTAAATCAGAAACACAGAATCATTCTTATCCAGAGACAAAATGCAGCACCTGTGGATTCATTTAGTCGATAGGACATGGACTCAAAATAAATGGACGTGCCTGATACCCGTCTTTTAGGAGTCATGAAACCATGAGACAAATGTCCCCCGTGAGACAAGTCCAAACCCTAAGGTACATGCACATGTTAGTAGCCACCAATAAAAAAAGAGTAAGACAAAGCCAAGAGGACACCTTACCATGAGACGGTCATGAGGTTTAAGAACTGCAGTATAAACCTCAAAATTTGCAGGAGAACCAGATAATGGTTGAACATTCACACCCCACTTCTTTCCATCTAAGTGAAATGCATCAAGTGCCCTTTTTTGGCATAGTGTTTCAAGCTCATCAATGTGTTCATTGCCACCATAGTACCTGAAATGTACAGTCAAACTATGAGCTACACCAAGCATAATCGTTTTAATAAAAGTTACCAGTTGAACTCACATTACTCTGGGTCTGAGTATATGTACCTTTTACCTGGTAATCCTTCCGAATACTTGTTTGTGAGACATGAGCCAACTGCCTCCATCACTGCCCGATATGTAAAATTTTCTGAGGCAATAAGCTCAAGGCTCTTGAACTGTCGCTCCTTCTCCTTTTCAATAATACCACGCACCTCAGGGTCAGCCTCACTTAACCCATTATCTATAAAACTGCTTCCATCGCCTGTAAATCAATTAGCCAAATTTAGAACAAGTCAGACACAATTCCTGCTACTAACCAATGACTCCTTTGATACTTCAACAGAAGTTGGAAAAATCCAAGCCGAATATATGGTTTTTTAAAGGCCTTTTCATTTATAAAGATGGTTCTTTCAAAAATTGAGTAAGGAAACTCTGCAGTTGCACTGAAAGTAGTGATTACAAAACCTCCAAAGATGAATACGCAAAGCATATAGCATTCTGGCAGATGCCAAGGAAAAGGATACCCTTTTTTTCGTTTTTATGTTTTCTTTAAGTGAAACTGACATTAAAAATTATAACACCATAACCTTTGCAATCCCAGAAGTATTCCTAACAAAGAAATCCCAAAAAACAAAAACTTAAAATACATTTCAATATGATTTACCAATGGAATCACAACTACATAGAAGTAATTGATAACCGCTCAAAGGTTGGAGTATAATTACCTCCAATTTCGGGCAAAGGCACAGAGACAGAAGAGGATGGCCTTCCAGCAACCAAGCTTCCTTCAATGTAAGAATAAGATCTACGGGTCTTCACGTAATTGAGTTTTAATTGATGTGAATATCCACCAAAGCTAAGCCCCTTGTTTGGAAAAGTTGTTCCTTTGGTCCAAGTGGGCTGTTGAATAGAACCCATCACTGCAGCTCCACCACAAGCCTGCATCTTGGCTTCCAAATACTATGCCCGCCGCACAAGCTCCTACAGATTTCACACAAAACTATGAGTGGTGAGAACAATACATACAAACGATACGAACATACATAAATGCACACATGGGTATAGCAATTTATTTATATAAACAAAAAACTAGGCAAAGAGTTCAAAAATTGTTTGGAAAGTAGTCATTCTCATACAAAATCACACACCCTACAGTATTTGACTCCTTAAAATTATTTTTCAAATGACTGGGGCTGAGAATTCGAAAGAGAATCGTCTTCCTAAGCAGAAGAAACACTTAGAATATGTTGATGATCGCAGCTTTTAAACAGAAAGAATAATCTAATCAAAGGGTTACAGTAAACTTACCCACTTTATCAGGTTTGCTGAGGATAGAGCTTCCTTTGCAAACTGGCGTTAGGAGCAAAGCTGACGATGGAACTCGCACAGGGAAAACGGTGGGTTTAGTGTTAGGGTTTTTGTTCTTACCAAAAAATAAAAGAACAGTGCATAATATCAGACCCATTGCAAAAAACTTGGTTTTCTTTTTTTCTTTTTTAAAAAATAATACAAATGTGAGGATTGCTTTTGTGGTGGGAAAACTGTTGGATTTTTATTTTTTATTTTTTTTATTTTTTGGTGCTGACACCCAAGATTTTCTTTTGCCCTTTTCATTTTTATTTCTTTTTAATTTAGTAAAGGGAACTTTTTGGGTATTAAGGACGGTGGAATAATCAAATTCAAGTGTGCTTGGTCCGCATGAAAAAAGAACTACCAACAAGAAATGAGCCATACAGTGTTGATTGAATATATTTCACCATTTTTGTGGTACTAATCTAGATCATTTAATATGAGATACATCACATTAATACTGACTCTTTAACCAAATTTCCTAACTTATGGAGAAATAGGGGATGAAAATGAAACCTTTCATTAGGGTTGGAATCGGTTCGGTTACCGACTAAGGGTAGTTGGTTTAACGAAAATTGAAACCGAGACTGTCAGTAATACCGCAAGTAGCGGTCGAGGTGGTTCGGTGGTTGGCCTACCGAAACAAACAAATTGGACTTTTTTGACCAAAATTTTTTAGCCCACTTCACATTTTCTGGGCTGCAATTTAAGAATTGAATGCAGTTTTTACGTCCAGTTTTGTTGGGCAATGTTTTAAGGACTATTTTTGGACAGTTGTACTTGGGCAAACATGAAAAAAATGAGAAATTGAAGCCAAAAAGCTAAAACTACAATTAAACATGCTCAAAACATAAATTGAAGCCTAAAACTAAACATTCAAATGCAAAGTACAACATAGTTAAACTTAAGTTACAACCCAACAAAAAAAGAAGTTTGAATTAGTTTACAACCCAAAAAAAAAAAATTAATAATAAAAGAAGTTTAAGTTTGAATTAGTTTACAACCCAAAATAAAGTAGAAGTTTTAATTAGTTTACAACCCAAACAAAAGTAGGCACACTTGACTTGAGCATTACAAATGTGATGGAGTTGAAGGAGACAAAATGCTTGTTGAAGTAGAAACTTGAGCATTACCACCTTGAGCCTTAGCGGCCACTACATGAAAAAATAAATAAGAATATGTACATATTAGTAGAAGCATTAAACCATCAAAGCATCAATAAAATCTAAAGATAAAGAATTGAAGTACTTAGAGCATCCACAGTGGGAGGGTGTAAATTCGGGGGTGTAAAGCCACTTTTACATCCCCTTTACACTTCCGGGGGGGGTGTAAATTCGTTTTTTTGCTTCAATGGGAAAAGATGTAAATCTAAGATATATAATTGTTTTGTTTGTCTTAATTCGTTTTTGTGTTAAATTTGTATTTTGTGTTTACTTTATAAAATTAATTTTTTTTGTATTATGTTAATTTTATTTTTTCAAACAAATGGACCTAAAAATATTTAAATTCGGAGAAGATATGATTTCATTCAAAAAGAATTGTTGGATCGTAAAGTACCTAATAGGTTAAAGAATAGAAAATAAACAAAAAACCTAAAAATTAAAATCCAACTGTTAAATGCTGTTTTGGAAGCCTAAACGACCTCAAAAGCCAAAAATCCACCCTATATCAATGCTAATCAGTGAGTATGATTCGTGACGTCGTTCCCTTTTCGGGAAGGTATCATGGACTCCAATCGGAGCTCGAACGCCAAATCTGTAAATTCCTATTATGTCCTTTTTCAATTTTTCATTCCAATAATTATGCCAATTTTTTCCAGAAATTACTGTAGCTGCGGGTCCCAGCCATTTATGCTGACTTTTCTTCTCTTTTCTCGGGTGGGTCCCGCCTGCAAGGGATGTAAATTTGGATGTAAATATACATTTTATTTTACACCTCAAAGGTGGTGATGTAAATTTACATCCTTTTACACCTCTCCATTGGAGACGATTCCGGTGACTCGAGGTGTATATTTAACATATACCTCTATATACACCCCCCCACTGTGGATGCTCTTACTTGCTTGAATTTCTTCAAGTTTCATATAAAAAGCAATTTCCTCATCCATTGGTTCCTTGTATAAGTTAAATTTGTACACCCTAAGCCAATCATGAGTACACACTAATACCTCTACCATTTTTGGAGTCAATGAGCTTCTAAAAGGATCCACAATCTTTTTGCCTAGACTAAAGGCATTCTCACTATCAACCGTAGAGGAAGGGATTGCAAATATATCCTTAGCAACCTTGGAAAGGATTGGATATATTGATTGATTCCTTTTCCACCAATCCAAAAGGTTGAAGTTTTTGTTCCTTGGGTTTTCAAATGGATTGGCAAAGTATTTATCAACTTCATTAGAGATCTCCATTTGTTGTTCCTCCTTCCTTTGAAGCAACATCTCTCTCAACATTTGAGAATGAGCATCATCACCATCAAGCTCATCTTCCAAACCGTCCTCATCCCCCTCATCTAGTATTTGTAGAGGACCCAAGTTCTCTATACTCATTGTACAAAGTGAGCAAGACACTTTTGATTTCATCCCCAATAGCTTCAACCTTTGAAGCTTCGACTCCAAGATTACGGAGGCTAATCTTGAGAAAGGCAAGCTTCCATCTAGGGAAAGGCAAGCTTCCATCTAGGGCCTAACACATTTCATATAAACACAAGTTTGTTGACACTCTCAAAGCTACCCAATACTTATCCCACTTGAGCTTCATTGAAGAAGCCACCTTTTGCAAAGTTTCATCCCCCTCATCTTTAATTTTTCTTTCAATCTCAACTTGTAACCCAACCAATTCAGTAAACATGATATTGGATGTACAAGTTTTGGTGGCACTAAGCTTTAGGGTGATTTCATAAAACGTGTCTAAAGCTACATTCTTGTTCATTTGTTTTAGGATTGTGCTTTGTTCATTTTAGGTTAATACCATGTTTGTAAATTTATGTTATATATAAATCCTTGTTTAGTAACACTGTTCGTCCGGTTAGTTCTATAGTTAACTTGTTGTTTCTTATCCTCTGGTTTCCTTTGGCAGGAGTTATTTTTGGAAATTGCTCCATGCATCAATTATTTGAATCTAATAGTAGCATTATACCTAGTCGGAGTAATTTCTTCCTTGTTCACTCAATAAACTGCATGCATTTACAACAATTGGTTCCCTTAATGCTAATAACCAACTAATGCCATAATGCCATTGTTCAGTTCTGGCCAGGGGGTGTAGTCTTGCTTCACTCTTCGTTCCTTTCTTTTATTATCTGCACATTTTCCATCCTTTCTAGCCATGTGTATATGGTACAGGGATTTCTGTTTTTTATTTTATTTTCAATAACACCATGTAGCTCCTTTTCAAACCCTTGAAGCCATTTTGTTTTGCATTTTTTCTTCTTGTAGCTTATATTATGAAAAACTGATGTTTGATTCCATCCCATTGAATATGTTCCAAAAGTCAATTTTAATTTTGTTCATTTTAGGTTAACACCCTGTTTGTCGGTCTGGAATAGGTGTTGTGGCAATTGATCTCATGATCCTCTCTTCATTTCTTGTTCACAATTTTATATTTGAAGAAATATCAATTGTTTTAAAATGTCTAAAGCTACATTCTTGTTCATTTGTTTTAGGATTGTGTTTTGTTCATTTTAGGTTAATACCCTGTTTGTAGATTTATGTCATATATGAATCCTTATTTAGTAACACTGTTCGTCCGGTTAGTTCTATAGTTAACTTGCTGTTTCTTATCCTCTGGTTTCCTTTGGCACGAGTTATTTTTGGAAATTGCTCCATGCATCAATTATTTGAATCTAATAGTAGCATTATACCTAGTCGGAGTAATTTCTTCCTTGTTCACTCAATAAACTGTATTCATTTACAACAATTGGTTCCCTTAATGCTAATAACCAACTAATGCCATAATGCCATTGTTCAGTTATGGCCAGGGGGTGTAGTCTTGCTTCACTCTTCGTTCCTTTCTTTTCTTATATGCTCCTTTTTCATCCTTTCTAGCCATGTGTATCTGGTATGGGGCTTTTTGTTTTTTATTTTCAATAACACACGACGTAGGTCTTTTTCAAACCCTCAAAGCCATTTCGTTTTGCACTGTTTCTTCTTGTAGCTATGACAACGGACCAATGTTTGATTTAATCCTATGTGAATATGTTCCAAAAGTCAGTTTTAATTTTGTTCATTTTAAGGTTAATACCCTGTTTTGGTCTAGTAATAGGGTGCTATAGGACTTGATCTTGTGATCTTCTCTTCATTTATGGTTCGCAGTTTTATTTATGAATCCTTGTTTCTCGTGAATCATCAAACCTTTCACATTCTTGTTTGTCATATATGAATCCTTGTTTGGAAACACTGTTCTTTTTGTTAGTTCTATAATTAACTTCTTGTTTCTTACTGTTAGGATCAGTACCACAACCGAGTTCGGATAATGATTTTCCAATTGGACAAGAGAAACTAGTTTCAGTGACGAGGGATCATAATTTTCCTGCTCTGTAGCAATATGTGGGGGGGGGGGGGGGGGGTGAGCGTAAGTCTACTAAAGAATCTGTTTAGTGATCTGACTTGGTAAATAAACATTGACTTATGTTTTTCCTTGGCTGTTCTCTTACATCAGGTCAAAGGGCTGGGAGATAGATTAAAAACAAATCTACACAAGGGAGTTCAGGGAGATAATGTTGATTTAATGAAACAAAAGAAGGCATTTGGAACAAACACATATCCTCGAAAAAATACAAGGAGTTTCTGGGTAAGTTTTTGTTACAATTGTAAACTTCTACTCTTTATGTATTGCTGTTATACTATTATTTTATTTTCTTTGATAGAAATTTCTCTGGGAAGCTTGTCAAGATATTGCTATGATCATTTTGACGGTAGTTGCGGTGGTTGCTTGAGCGCTTGGTATAAAGACAGAGGTAATCCCTTCTGCTTTTTGTTCTTCCTGCTTGATAATTTTTTGTTTGTTTTGTAGTCTGAGTTGTTGTTGTCCTGTGGTTTGTCTTTCGTAGTTATTTGATTTAAACATACATAATTGTTTATGGTGTTTGCATTTTGTTTTTGTGTTGCTTACAGGGTACAAAGGAGGGTTGGTATGATGGGGGCAGCATTGCTATTACAGTTCTTGTCATCGTTATTAGAGGTATTGAATGAACATGTGTGTAAAATATGTATGTATACGTATGCATGTCCCTGGTAGGTTTTGTGATTGTTCCTAAAAACTGCTTGAATGTTTTATTCAGTGATCCCTAGTAGGTTTTGTGATTGTTTCTAAAAACATGCTTGAATGTTTTATTCAGTGAAGACTCATCATGATTGACAGAATGTATCCATTCTTCATTGGATTGTATTATTTGACACTGGAGTCTTGAACTCAAGATTTATTTACCTTCTATCTCTCTCTCTCTCTCTCTCTCTCTCTCTCTCTCCTCTCTCTCTCTCCTCTCTCTCTCTCTCTCTCTCTCTCTCTCTCTCTCGTATTTTTGCAGAAATGATTTTTGTGGGGCCCATCCACATTGTATTTTCATAATCCGAACCGTCTATTTTTTAGGTATTCCTTCAAAGATCATTTTCGTAAAAAATCATTTGAATCCGAAATGATTTGACCGCTCAATCGATGGTTGTAATTTTAGTATTTTCTTGAACTATTGGGATCATCGGTTTTGTTTATCAAAACTAGATGTCTTAATGGTTTCCGATTTTGCTAATTTTTTTGCAAGGATGTTCTTTGAATGAAGACATAAAAAATGGATGATTCGGATTGTTGAAGTAAAATTTGTATTGGACCCACAAGGTGTCTCTTATTTGAGGGATCCTTAATAGAAGGGACTGTGTATGTTTGTATGTATCCATCTGTATTCACTGGAGGGGGTGGGGATGCTATATGCATGTCAATGATGGGCACTAATGGGATTCTTACGTTGGATTGTGTGTTTATCATCTATGCTCTTTTGTATTCTCTTTTTGTCCGTGTTTACGCATCTGTCGTGGATGAGCATATATTGGTGTAATATTATTTGAATTATAATACATATGGAAGCAAGTATTAATCAAAACTAGTACACACTCTCATCAATTTTTCTTGCACTCTTTACTTGCAGCCATAAGTGATTACATACAATCTCTTCAGTTCCAGAATTTAAATGAAGAAAAGAGAAACATACATTTAGAGGTATGCTTATCTGGTTGTACTATAATTCATATTTGTTAGGATTTTATTTCTCTTGTTTAATGGAGTTAATCTTTGAAGTTAATGTGCAGGTCATTAGAGGTGGCAGACGAGTTGAGGTCTCAATTTATGATTTTGTTGTTGGTGATGTTGTACCCCTTAACATCGTTGATCAGGTATGGGTGTTTGTCAGTAAACTGTTGTTGTATATTTCACAATTGCATTTCAAATGCAAAACTTATTAATATTCTGATTCTTTCTTTAGGTCCCTGCTGATGGCATTTTAATAAATGGTCACTCACTTGTGATAGATGAGTCAAGCATGACTGGAGATCACAACATTGTGAGCCTTTCTACCTGTTCTATAGCCTTGTTTGAACATTGCCTTTTTATTTTCTGCAAATTATATTTTTATTGCATGTTCGTAAGGACTCCAGGCAACCATTTCTGATGTCTAGATGCAAAGTAGTAGATGGCTATGGTAGTATGCTGATAAAGATTCAAATATCCCTATTCTCCTTTTTCTATGCCTGCAACTATTTTCCATTCTTTCCTCAAGTGCACTATCTTAAAAGCTATGGAGTCATATCCAGGTTATTATAAAGGTTGCTTAGGATATCATATTTTTCGAGTACTACCCTAGTTCTGTTGTATAAAAAACACATAGCTACAACGCATGTATTGCTGGTCAACCGTCTTTTGAACTTTGCATGATGTGTGGGTTATACAGGATTATATATTCAGTTTCTGGTACTTTGTTTGTCTAGAGTCAGTCAAGAACTTATCTGAATTTCTTGTATGCTTGCTAATTCTTTGTTTTTGGTAGGCTTGCTTTTATTTGCTGAACATGTAATGTTGAAATAAAACATTCAATTTTTTATTATTATTGTTTCTTCAGGTAAACAATGTTGGGATTAATACCAAATGGGGATTTCTCATGCCTAGTATTTCCGAAGATACAGGTGAAGAAACCCCTTTGCAGGTCAGTTTTAATGAATTGTTATATTGAAAAAAATTCTCCTTAATGAACTGGCGAAGAAAACCCCTTTGCATGACATGTTGTGCTGAACCATGGATGACTATGAATAGGTGCGCTTAAACGGGTTAGCTTCTTTCTTTGGAATTGTCGGACTCATAGTAACTGATGTTGTCTTGGTTGTCCTATTGGTCAGGTATATTTCAATCGTTGCTAGCGACCCCTTTTCCATGACATGACAATTTATTTACGATTGCAAAATATAATTTGTGCATACACTTTACTGGCCAAACAAAAAATGCAAATGGAATTGCTCATTTTATTGCCGGAAAGACTAAAATTGGAGATGTCATACATGGAGCCACTAAAATTGTTACGATATAAGTACGTCAATAACTATTTGGTTATTTGTAGTCAATATGTGTCGTTGTCTACCTGGTTATTTATTGTAAATACACAAATGTGATTTTGACTACTTGGAAAATATTTTAGGTCGTCATTTTAGTGGTTGGAGTTCCTAAAGGGCTTCCTTTAGCTGTCACCCTGATGTAAGTGTACTCGTTTTTTCGTGCAAGAACTAGTTTTTATTTTTTCACCTGAGTAACCTGATCTCAATGAAAGAAAGAATAATATTTACTTCACATGCGAACTTGATTTTTTCTTGTTGTAAAGCATATATTTATTGTTTGCATTCATCTTTCTACATTCCTTATTTCTTTACCCTTTTATCCTTTGGTTATGTCAAAGACTTGCCTACTTAATGAGAAAAATGATGGCAGATAAGGCCTTGCTATGTGTAATTTTGTTCATTTTTATTCTGCATAGATTTTTTTAAAAATGCACAAAGGCTTGTGCATTCTCCCAATCCGACACGGTTGGTGGCCCAACTATCTTCACAAGGTTTTTTTTTTCCATCCTTCTCAAGCTCATTAAATTAATTAACAAATGAAACATTCTCGTCCGCCATCCTAGTAAACACGTTTCTATACTTAAATGCACTATCAAGCATCTTATAAGTGGCATTTCACCTTGTTTCCACATCCAAAGGAATGTTTGCCATCATATTCATGCTTTCTAAAATGGCAAAATCTTTAAACTTATCCAACTTTGATGGTGAAGAATGTATGTATTTCACACAATTTCTAATCCCCTCAATTGAGCTAGAAAACTCCTTCAACCCATCATTAACAACCAAATTAAGAATGTGACAAGCACACCTTATACACAAATATTTGCCGTCAAACATAAGAGTGTTCAATGACTTCAACTTCTTGGCCATATACTCCACCGCCCCATCATTTGCACTAGCATTATCTACTGTAATGCTAAACACCTTCTTTATCCCCCAACTATTCAAACAAGCATCTAAACACCTCCCAATGTCATCCTAGTGACTTGTGATCTTAACGAAATTTATTACCCTCTTATGCAACTTCCATTCATGATCCATGAAATGGGCAGTGACTACTATGTAATTGATGTTTTGGATAGAGGTCTAAGTATCAGTTGTGATACTTACTCTTTGATCACTTAACACACTCATAATCTTAGTCTTCTCAGTTAAGAACAAATCACACACTCCCTTAACAATCTTCTTCCTATTAGGGATCATCAATAAAATCTCTAAACCTCGTCCCCTCCACTGCCCTAAACAAGATCTCATCCTTGACAATGTACTTCACACACTTCATTTCCGATCTTGCTTCATTGAAGGTGTAAGGCACCAAAGCACTATTCATTGCCCCCTTGTGCTAACACCGATTGGTTTTGCATCACATTTTCTATAATAAGATATAACTTGCATATCCTTTCTGCATTTCCTGAGCAATTCCAAGATACATGATGGAGATGTATGTTTCGTGGATATTGCAACAACACATACAATTCTTCTGGATAAGAAATATTTTTTTCGTGTTTTTGGGCCTGTTTGGATACCCTAATACGGACAATCAAAGAAATCGATTTCATCTATGCCGTATAGAATTATCCAAATTTCCAAACAGGTTCTTTTAAAAATATTAGGGTATCTAAATAGGTCCAAAAATTCGAAATAATTACAACTACAATTGAAATTGTGGCCCAATATGAAATCTCGACCCAATGCCCAAATCTAGGCCCCAACTCTCTCCCTCCCTCTAATCACATGTCGTCTCTGTTTCAAGACCACCATTGACGTCGTTTTTGTCGTCGTCTTCTTATTCTCACGGACTTGGATCTTGCAGCCATTTTCAGCACTCTCATACAGAGCAGCAGCAGTGATGGGGTCGAAATTGGTGTTCTCGTGCACTTCCTTTGTGTTAAAATCACCACCATTATCATCAAGGTCAGTAGCATTCTGATCACTGTTGTCTTCATGTTTTTGGCTAGGTCACCATTTGTGCCTCGATTCTTCAAAGAAATGGCTCTCCTATTCTCTTTTATTTCTGCTCTCATTCTCTCGGCAACTATGAGTTTCTCTACTTTCTTAGCCTCCTTTGATCTCTCTCTTTCATCTTTTCGTTAGGGTTAGGGTTAGGCACGGTATGAGATGACACGGGATGAAGGTCATCTCGGTGTCAATCCCAAATATGGGAATCATGATGGGATGACACAGATTTCATGTCTCCTTGTTGTTGAAAAAAATAATGAGATTTTGATGAAAAACCATCATTCCCACCCAATTGGCTCAAAACCATTTCCTCAAGAAAATGCAAATGCATCATTCCCTGAAGCGAATACAAGCAATCATAGTCGTGGTCGTGGTCGTGGTCATGGTCATAGTCGTGGTCGTGGTTGTGGTTGGGGTCGTGGTTATGATTGTGGTCATGGTCGTAGTCATGCTTGTAGTCATGCTCGTGGTCATTATAATTTTCGAAATTGAGGTGGTCACAATCATGCCTCAAATAAATAAATAAATAAAGTGCATCATACTATCAGAAAATATAATAAGAATGAAGAAAACAAGAAATTGCTCAAGAAAAGTGCACCATTTCCTGAGCAATTCCAAGATAGATGATGGAGATGTATGTTTCGTGAATATTGCAACAACACATACAATTCTTCTAGATAAGAAATAATTTTTTCGTGTTTTTGGGCCTGTTTGGATACCCTAATACGGACAATCAAAGAAATCGATTTCATCTATGCCGTATGGAATTATCCAAATTTCCAAACAAGTTCTCTTAAAAATATTAGGGTATCCAAATAGGTCCAAAAATTCGAAAACATTACAACTACAATTGAAATTGTGGCCCAATATGAAATGTCGACCCAATGCCCAAATCTAGGCCCAACTCTCACTCTCCCTCTAATCACATGTCATCTCTGTTTCAAGACCACCATTGACGTCGTTCTTGTCGTCGTCTTCTTCTTATTCTCACGGACTTCGATCTTGCATCCATTTTCAGCACTCTGATCCAGAGCAGCAGTAGTGATGAGGTCGAAATTAGTGTTCTCGTGCACTTCCTTTGTGTTAAAATCACCACCATTATCATCAAGGTCAGTAGCATTTTGATCACTGTTGCCTCTATGTTTTTGGCTAGGTCACCATTTGTGCCTCGATTCTTCAAAGAAATGGCTCTCCTATTCTCTTTTATTTCTGCTCTCCTGCTCTCGGCAACTATGAGTTTCTCTACTTTCTTGGCCTCATTTGATCTCTCTCTTTCATCTTTTCGTTATGGTTAGGGTTAGACACAGTATGAGATGACACGGGATGAAGGTCATCTCGGTGTCAATCCTGAATAGGGGAATCATGATGGGATGACACAGATTTCATGCCTCCTTGTTGTTGAACAAAATAATGAGATTTTGATTAAAAACCATCATTCCCACCCAACTAGCTCAAAACCATTTCCTGAAGAAAATGCAAATGCATCATTCCCTGAAGCGAATACAAGCAATCAGGGCCGTGGTCGTGGTCGTGGTTGGGGTCATGGTCATGATCGTGGTCGTGGTCGTGGTCATGGTCGTGGTCGTGGTCGTGGTCGTGGTCATGATCGTAGTCATGCTTGTAATCATGCTCGTGGATGTGGTCGTGGTCATTATAATTTTCGAAATTGAGGTGGTCACAATCATGCCTCAAATAAATAAATAAAAAAGTGCACCATACTACCAGAAAATATAATAAGAATAAAGAAAAACAAGGAATTGCTCAAGAAAAGTGCACCATTTCCTGAGCAATTCCAAGATACATGATGGAGATATATGTTTCGTGGATATTGCAACAACACATACAATTCTTTTGGATAAGAAATAATTTTTTCGTGTTTTTGGGCCTGTTTGGATACCCTAATACGGACAATCAAAGAAATCGATTTCATCTATGCCATATGGAATTATCCAAATTTCCAAACAGGTTCTCTTAAAAATATTAGGGTATCCAAATAGGTCCAAAAATTCGAAAAAATTACAACTACAATTGAAATTGTGGCCCAATATGAAATGTCGACCCAAGGCCCAAATCTAGGCCCCAACTCTCTCCCTCCCTCTAATCACATGCCGTCTCTGTTTCAAGACCACCATTGACGTCGTTCTTGTCGTTGTCTTCTTCTTATTCTCACGGACTTCGATCTTGCAGCCATTTTCAGCACTCTGATCCGGAGCAGCAGCAGTGATGGGGTCGAAATTAGTGTTCTCGTGAACTTGCTTTGTGTTAAAATCACCACCATTATCATCAAGGTCAGTAGCATTTTGATCACTGTTACCTCCATGTTTTTGGCTAGGTCACCATTTGTGCCTTGATTCTTCAAAGAAATGGCTCTCCTATTCTCTTTTATTTCTGCTCTCCTTCTCTCGGCAACTCTGAGTTTCTCTACTTTCTTGGCCTCCTTTGATCTCTCTCTTTCATCTTTTCGTTAGGGTTAGGGTTAGGCACGGTATGAGATGACACGGGATGAAGGTCATCTCGGTGTCAATCCCGAATAGGGGAATCAAGATGGGATGACATAGATTTCATGTCTCCTTGTTGTTGAACAAAATAATGAGATTTTGATGAAAAACCATCATTCATACCCAACTCGCTTAAAACCATTTCCTGAAGAAAATGCAAATGCATCATTCCCTGAAGCGAATACAAGCAATCATGGTCGTGGTCGTGGTCGTGGTTGGGGTCGTGGTCATGATCGTGCTCGTGGTCATGGTTGTGGTCGTGGTCGTGGTCGTGGTCGTGGTTGTAGTCATGCTTGTAATCATGCTCGTGGATGTGGTCGTGGTCATTATAATTTTCGAAATTGAGGTGGTCACAATCATGCCTCAAATAAATAAATAAATAAGTGCATCATACTGCCATAAAATATAATAAGAATGAAGAAAAACAAGGAATTGCTCAAGAAAAGTGCACCATTTCCTGAGCAATTCCAAGATACATGATGGAGATGTATGTTTCGTGGATATTGCAACAACACATACAATTCTTCTAAATAAGAAATAATTTTTTCGTGTTTTTGGGTCTGTTTGGATACCCTAATACGGACAATCAAAAAAATCGATTTCATATATGCCGTATGGAATTATCCAAATTTCGAAACAGGTTCTCTTAAAAATATTAGGGTATCCAAATAGGTCCAAAAATTCGAAAAAATTACAACTACAATTGAAATTGTGGCCCAATATGAAATGTCGACCCAAGGCCCAAATCTAGGCCCCAACTCTCTCCCTCCCTCTAATCACATGCCGTCTCTGTTTCAAGACCACCATTGACGTCGTTCTTGTCGTTGTCTTCTTCTTATTCTCACGGACTTCGATCTTGCAGCCATTTTCAGCACTCTGATCCGGAGCAGCAGCAGTGATGGGGTCGAAATTAGTGTTCTCGTGAACTTGCTTTGTGTTAAAATCACCACCATTATCATCAAGGTCAGTAGCATTTTGATCACTGTTACCTCCATGTTTTTGGCTAGGTCACCATTTGTGCCTTGATTCTTCAAAGAAATGGCTCTCCTATTCTCTTTTATTTCTGCTCTCCTTCTCTCGGCAACTCTGAGTTTCTCTACTTTCTTGGCCTCCTTTGATCTCTCTCTTTCATCTTTTCGTTAGGGTTAGGGTTAGGCACGGTATGAGATGACACGGGATGAAGGTCATCTCGGTGTCAATCCCGAATAGGGGAATCATGATGGGATGACATAGATTTCATGTCTCCTTGTTGTTGAACAAAATAATGAGATTTTGATGAAAAACCATCATTCATACCCAACTCGCTCAAAACCATTTCCTGAAGAAAATGCAAATGCATCATTCCCTGAAGCGAATACAAGCAATCATGGTCGTGGTCGTGGTCGTGGTTGGGGTCGTGGTCATGATCGTGCTCGTGGTCATGGTTGTGGTCGTGGTCGTGGTCGTGGTCGTGGTTGTAGTCATGCTTGTAATCATGCTCGTGGATGTGGTCGTGGTCATTATAATTTTCGAAATTGAGGTGGTCACAATCATGCCTCAAATAAATAAATAAATAAGTGCATCATACTGCCATAAAATATAATAAGAATGAAGAAAAACAAGGAATTGCTCAAGAAAAGTGCACCATTTCCTGAGCAATTCCAAGATACATGATGGAGATGTATGTTTCGTGGATATTGCAACAACACATACAATTCTTCTAAATAAGAAATAATTTTTTCGTGTTTTTGGGCCTGTTTGGATACCCTAATACGGACAATCAAAAAAATCGATTTCATATATGCCGTATGGAATTATCCAAATTTCGAAACAGGTTCTCTTAAAAATATTAGGGTATCCAAATAGGTCCAAAAATTCGAAAAAATTACAACTACAATTGAAATTGTGGCCCAATATGAAATGTCGACCCAAGGCCCAAATCTAGGCCCCAACTCTCTCCCTCCCTCTAATCACATGCTGTCTCTGTTTCAAGACCACCATTGACGTCGTTCTTGTCGTCATCTTCTTCTTATTCTCACGAACTTCGATCTTGCAGCCATTTTCAGCACTCTAATCCGGAGCAGCAGCAATGATGGGATCGAAATTAGTGTTCTCGTGCGCTTGCTTTGTGTTAAAATCACCACCATTATCATCAAGGTCAGCAACATTCTGATCGGCGTTGCCTCCATGTTTTTGGCTATAGGTCACCATTTGTGCCTCGATTCTTCAAAGAAATGGCTCTCTTATTCTCCTTTATTTATGCTCTCTTTCTCTCGGCAACTTTGAGTTTCTCTACTTTCTTGGCCTCCTTTGATCTATCTCTTTCATCTTTTCGTTAGAGCTGGGCACGGTATGAGATGACACGGGATGAAGGTCATCTCGGTGTCAATCTCGAATAGGGGAATCATGATGGGATGACACGGGATGAGAGTTTTTGAAAACACGTTCAAACCATATCGGACCCAAACGGGATTGGTATGATTCGGTATCAATGTTGATACCGTAAAAAATCTGCAAAATTTTATAAATCAAGTGTAATGCAACAGAATCCTCAATCAAGATTCAAGACCAACCAAGAAATGGAAATCTCATACAAAGTTTAAGTGAAATGGAAATCTAATCTCATATAGGCTTTTACAACAAATCAAGCATAATACAAACAAAACAAATAATCGATCAAGAGTTCAAGTTCAAGACATGTCAAATTACAAAGCAAGAAATGGAAATCTCATATATGCTTTTAGAAAACAAATGAAGCCAAATTATGTACAAACTTCAAAGTAAGAAATGGAAATCTTTAATGACATGTCCCTTTCCCTTTGGATCAATCCCTAATGTGTTGTACTAGTGGCAGTAGCTTTGTACTTGCATATTCTGCAAAAAATAAATTCACATATGTTCTTATAAACAATGCAACATTATAAAATAATAAACAATTAAAAAGCCTAAACATTTAAGATCAAATTAAAAGCAAATGCAACATTATAAGGTAATAATTAATAAACATAGTAAACATACCTAATTCAACACTCTCATAAAACTCATATTCTTCAGGAGTAGGTTCATCTTCTAAATTTGTGGAAATGTCATTTCCCTTCAAACCAATTTTGCATACATATTAATGCCTCCACTGATCTATGAGTTAATGAACTTTTAAATGCATCAATTACTCTTCCCCCCAGTGCTAAAACAACTCTCAGATGCAACTGTTGATACTTGAATCGCAAGAATATCCTTTTGCAATAGCTGCCAACACAGGGTATTTAGGACCATTGAGCTTCCACAACAACAAAATATAAAAAAGACCTCTTTGGTTGTTAATTCCAAAGGATCATGCAAGTAGGTATCCACTTCATATGCAACCACAACCTTTTCACTCTCTTCCACCACCTTTATCCAATCATCCATTATATCATCAACATCTTGTGAATTTCCATTCACTGTCTGTGGAGTAGAATTCACATTTCCACTTCTTATGTGAATTCCACCATCTAATCTAGGTGTATACTCTTCATACATAGACATCAACACCTCATCTATATCTTTTTTTTTTTTTTTTTTTTTTTTTTTCTTCTGCATCATCAAACTTCTCCTTCTTAAACAGATGTGTCACATGCCTAAGCTTGAATCTAGGGTCCAAAACAATAGCAACAACCAACAGCACATTCATATCTTCAAATTCGACAAAGTACTTGTTGTATTTTTCTCTCATTTTGATTGCCATATCAACCAACACTTTTTTCTGCTTCTGAACCGGTGGCCATCTCATGTGACACAAATAATTTATCAATCTCTTTTTCTATTGCTAAAATAGAATGAAAAGCTTTGTTGATAGTGAGGTGCAAAGATGCACTCACCTTCAGTGTGACCTCATAAAAAACCCTTAAGAACTTCACAAAAACAGTAGCATTCTCCCAAACAGCTTCACTTGGTGGTCCAACCCTAATATGCTTATTGTTGCTCACAACCACACCATCCTCATCAACTTCATGTTCTAGTTCCTTGAAGTAAGCCAAAAAAGGATTGTCCTCATCTTCCCCCATTCTTACAAAATGCCTTTTTATATTTTAAGGCTACATCCAACATTATAAATGTCGAATTTCACCTTGTCGGGATATCCATGCAAACCATACCTTTGATGGACAATCCCTCTGCTTCCACATAGGTTTTAAAAAACTCCAACCTTTGAAGAGAAGACCTAACATACCTAATTGCATTTCTAACGGCCAAAATATATTTAGAAAGCCTCTTCAAACCACTAACTACAATTAGGTTTGTGATGTAAGCAAGACATCTCACATGTAAGTACTTCCCTTGCAAAACAGGTTCTGCTTTCGCCCTTCTATTCAACTTTGACCTAACCCAATTTATAGCAACTTTATTAGCAGATGCATTATCCACAGTTATAGCCAAAACCTTTTCTATCCCCCAATCAAGTAAAAAATTTTCAATAAGCTTCCATATTATTGGCCCTTGATGATTTGAAATCACACAAAAGTTCAAAATCATCTTGTGCATTTTCCACTCACAATCAATGAAATGGGCAGTTAACACCATATAATTACAGTTTTGGACACTTGTCCAAGTAGTGAGGCAAACCCTAGTTTCCCTCAAATCTTTCTTCAACTTTAACTTATGCTCATCATACATTTTTAGAAATTGTTTTAGAATTGTTCTCCTACTAGGAACATTGAACTAACGGCAAGCAACACTGCAAAATTTCCTAAAGCCTTTCTTCTTTACAAAATTGAATTGAAGCTCATTTATAATAATCATCTCAACACAAGCTTCCAAAACATCGGTCTGCACAAACTCCCTGGCTACAAGCTTGTTACCTTGACTCTTATCACCACTAATTATCTTTTGATTTTTGTCAATATTGCAAGGTAATATCTGCAATATTTTCTAATATGGTTAAGCATTCCACTTGTCCCATTTTTCCCACTATCCACAACATAATCTCCTAAAGGACCTTTAGGACAATAAACACATTTACTCTTGTATGAACCACTTCAACTTCTATAATCTTCCATGTTGCATTTTTTTTTCCTTTTTCTTGTCCTCATATGTAATAAAATGATCCCAAACCCAACTATGTTTCACACCTCTATGTTTAGTTTCTGAGTTGATTTCACTTACTGAGTCATCATCATCATCTTCAATTTGAGGTGGCACTGGCACTACTGCTCCTTCTGCAGATTGGGTTGGATATGGTGCAGATTGTGTTGGTGGTGGTGCCATCTCAAGTGATGGTAAGGTTCTTATTGAAGAAGCAATATATCCAGACTGCATGATTAGAATGGCTTCAATAAAACTTGAGATAGTGATGGAAATAATTAAGATTTGCAGCCTCATACAAGAAAGCAAGGGTTCTTCAATACAAAAATCAAACAGAATTTCAATGGTGGTCAACTATTGCAGACTCAGATGTTGCAGACTTAGTATTTAGTCCATGAACAAAAACACATGGCCTTAACAACTGTGGATGACAACAGTTTGTACTAGAATAGTTTATATGATGCAAAATTAGAGAACTCATGGCATATATAAAAAAACAAAAAGGAAAAACAAGGAAACCAAGAAAAGAAATTAAAATCTTAATACCTCCTCCCAAAACAACTAGGACAAGCTCTCACGACACAACCCCAGTGACGATTTTTAAAAGTGGTAGATCTTACGAATGTGTTGTACCTTTTCACGATCCACACCTCTTTCTCCTATGGAATCCTTAAGTTCCTTGAAGCAAACAACTATATAGCACCAAAATCACCAGTATAAATGCTCAAGAACAATACCCAGCAAATCAATGATGTTGGGGGACCAAAATCAAAACAATTTCTCAAATTTGAAAACAAATAATTGCAAGCCAAATGAATACCTGAGAATCTGAGATCGGATTGAAATTGGTAGCAGAGGGAAACAAGTTTGAAGAAGTCTACAACCAAACCAACAATACGATCTTCAACAACCCCTTGATTTTTCTACACAGAAACTCATAGAAACTTTGGGTTGGGGCTTTCCTTTTCCACTGGTTTGGAGAAGTACAGAGAGAGAGAGAGAGAGGAGAAGAAGGAGGAGAAGAAGATGAGATCGATTGATGGTGGAGGATTTGGGAATTACGGCTTCAAATCGTGATTGAGAAAGGAGAAGAGGAGAGAAGAGAAGAATTTGACAGAGGAAAGGAAAGGACACATGCAGAGAAACAAAGAGAAAGAGTCGACGAAATATCTGTGAGAGTAGGGTTGAAACTAAAATTAAATTAGGATTAATAAAAATAATGTAATGTTCAGTACGGTATGACACCAACCGGGATCACAAATGTGAAACCGATGTCGTGTCAAACAGTAACGGGATGACACGGTATCATCCCGTTTACACGTCAACACCCACGGGACGACACGAAATTGGCACGATTTGACATGGTTTCGGGATGGTTTCGGTATTCCGATTTTGATGCACACCCCTACTTTTCGCTGCAATGTTCGATATTCTTTGTGAGATGTCTTCTTGGCTACAAGGGTGCCAATGGGTGCGTACCATTCATGCATGGTGTTTGGATGGGCAGCTAAGTAAAAGCAGAAAAGGATAAATTGAATGAAGTGGTTCAAAGCTTTGGGACGAAAATGATGAGAAACAAAAATGCTGATAAAGTAGAGAAAGCTTACTCTTTTATCTCCATAACGAACTGCATGCAGGCTAACCGCCGCTGTTATAGAGAAAAATCCATTACACTCGTGTGTATTGGATTTGCCATGCAGCTACTGGAAATGAATCTTAGCATTTATCTAACTATAAATTAATTATTAATTATAGATTTTTTAAATATTTTTTTATAGCTATTTAAAAATAATAATAATAAAAAAGAAAAAAAGAGTATACAAGAAATTGGCCACAAAACAGCCCGAACATGTTAAAATCAGACAACTAAACAGTTCGAGTGGTTGAGCTTGATTTTACACTAAAATATTGTAATTTTTGGATTGAATTGAACCAAATTGCAACTAACTACACTTGGATCGTTTCAATTTGTCCTATTTCCACAAAACGTCCCTGGGGTTTGCGAAGCTATTAGATTGCGTCATTTTTGTTTTTTATTTTTTTTGTCATTCGTAGTCCTAAAGATTAACATGTGTGCTCGCAAGAGTGGAGGCTGAGAGGTGGGGGTGGGTTGGGATGGGGAGAAGAGATAGGACAGAGGAGAAAGGAAAGAGAGGAGAGAAGTTGCAGTTTTTATTATTATACAGTTTTCAATTTTAAAAATGTTATGTTTTATTTAATCCACGTGGCGTCGTATCATTGGATATGTGAGGGCCACATGTGTTCCACATCATCAATCTAACAGATTTTTGGACGGAACCTGACGGTAAAGACTACTTGGTTGAAGGATTTCAAACTCAAATATTATATTTTTGAACTGACATTATGTATTACTATGAATCTTACGGAATGATGGTTGAAGGATTGACATTGCACCTTGTATAGAGTGATTATAGAATACTAAGATAGTAAGTACGACCACATGGTACATCTATATGATGTCGAATGACACTACAACGTTTTAAACATGAGGTTCTAAATTGCAATTGGTGTCAAACCTGAGGGCCTAAAATGAAATATACCATTTTTTATGTTGTGCTAATTTTCCCACTCCATTTTTATCCTCTTACCCTCCCTTTTATTTTTTTAAAATAATTTTTACTATAACATACAATTTCCAACAAGAAAGTGTAAGTTGACAAAAGAAGAGTGGGAACGTACAATTTTCAACAAAGAGAGTGTGAGTGGACAAAAGAGAAGTGAGAAAATTAGCTCCATTTTTTATGAGGTAGCGACCATGTATAGTCACTACCTAACACCTTGTTTGCAACGGAGTGATAGTAACATATTTTGTATTGAATTTTGGGTCATGTGTAAATAATAAATTTTTACATGTAAATGTAATAAAAAGATAGAAGACTTTGTATACATGTCATGTTTACAAATCTCTTAAATTTACATCCAACGGTGAATGATCACAAATATCTTGGACCCTGTAAGATCAGGACTGTATTTGTTAGATGTTGCTAATCATAACCTGCACATGTAGAGAGACGCGAAAATATTAATTAATTTTATTTTGTTAAACTTGTCAAAAATTCCCAATTTTGAAGTGCACTGTGAGTCAAAAAAGATGTCGGCATCCTTGTTTAAGTCAAGACCTCTTCACTTGATCTTCTCAAGGACTGTCAATTGTCCGTCAAGCATGTCAATCCACACCAATATGTTGCACAAATCCCACAGGTTCCTTCTCTTTCGTACAAATTTTTATCTTTTATCTTTTATTTATTTATTTTTGAAAAAAAGAATTGAAATTCATTTCTCCATGAATTTTCACTGCAGCTTTCGGATTTGGAAGTGTGGTTTCAACCACCCAAAAACATTGTGCGGAAGTTGTTGTCTGGAGACTTAGACCTTGGCATAGCAGGTTTTGATACCGTCAGCGAATATGGGCAGGTAACCATCACCTATGTATCTTATTCATTCAGTTTATTGGTTTTAGGGTGTGCAGTTGGATATGTAATTGGGATTTAGGGTGCACAATTGTAAATGTAGTTGGGTTATTTTCAGCACTATAAAATTCTGCATGAAAAATTGATTTCCATCTCAATATCATCAAATATTTAGAAACTAATGATGTCGTCTTCCATGCTAGCTGTGTATCTTGGATATTGGAATGCATAACCCAGAATGTATTTACTTAGAAGTTCAAATTTATAGATATGAAGTTGGCCCTTTGTTTAAAACAGATGAAAAAAATAAAAATTTCTTAGTATTTACTCCTTTTGTGTGTGTGTGTGTGTGTGGAATTTGTTTAGAAGTTTTCATAACTTGCTATCATTATTTTTTTGTAATCGTCGGGCCAAACAATGGAGAAAGCTATATGATTCACACCAACAGTCATGAGTCATCCCATGTGCTGTTACTGTGTGCAAAAACGTTGATATTTATGATTTTAGTAATCGTTCAATCATGATCTCTCAATTTCTTGATACTTACCTCAGACCAATCGTAGTTTGCTTTTTTTGCCTTTGGTTTTGCCATGATACCTCTGCCACAAGGTATGAATCAAAATTCAGTTGAAACATTTTAAAATGATGATAAACAGATATCACTGTTTTTCCTTAGTAATTTGTGTATGTTTAAAAATTACCTGCAGTCATGTCGTCCTTCTCTTGAAGAAATATTTCTATTTCCTTTGCTTGTTATCCAAAATGACTATGAAGAAGTACATTGATATTTAAAACTTATCATCATTTGGATTACTTGCCAAAAAGAAAAGAAGGAAAGCCTCCACCAACTATAGTAGGCTTACCCTTGTTTAATCCCTTGACGTCAGACCTGTGAATGTAGTTGACCAACCAGGAAATAAGTCAGAGCCAGAAGCAGATGGAAATGTGCATGCACTTGCGGAGTAACAACTCATAAAGCAATAGGCTATGTCTTCTTTTTCATTGCTTCTGAGACCTTTGGATAGTCCAGCATAGTTACTTTACCAGTAAACCTGTGTACTCTTTTGGAAGACCTCTGTTTATATTTTTGTAGATACAAGGGATATTGGGGGAGAGATAGACCTCAAGTGCAAGTGTAAATGTTCTTAGCCACTGAGCTACAATCCCCTTGCACTATGTTTTATTTAAGAATTGAGTGTTAGATAAAACTTTGGAAGCAGGCCATCTCATAGAATCTGCCCTTTTATTTTTTAAATATAAATTCTTTGTCCTCTTTTGCACTCTTTCATTTGCATATTGTGTCAGAAAAATTACTTCATGTTGTTCTTGTATTAAAGATATTTTCATTGTCTATTCTTAATAAAAAAATATAAAAAAAGATATTTTCATTGTTTATTATTTTTTTCTTATCCAAAATGAATGAAGAATTGCATTGATAATTAAAGTTTATCACTCGTATTACTTGTTCAAAGAGAACGGAACACTAATCATCTAAAGTTCTATTTTAGGGGAATGAAGATCTTATCATTGTTCATGATGCTCTTGATTATGGGGACTGCCGCTTATCCCTTGCAGTGAGTTACTTTCTTATTACCCAAATAGCCAACGCCAGTTATCTCACTCATATTTCCTTTAATAGCTTTCAAATATCCGTTGTTTTTTCAGATTCCAAAATGTGGGATTTTTTAGAATATAAATTCACTGAAGGATTTAGCACAAATGCCTCAATGGACTGAAGAGAAACCTCTGCGAGTTGCTACTGGCTTTACCTATGTACGCAATGTGTTTAAGATTTTTTCACTG